TTGAAATAGATTTTACCTGGAAGAGACTGGACCCAGATGGCAAAACTCCTAATTCTTCTTCCCCATCTCTTCTGCATGAGTTTTGTTTCTCTTGGGATAGAGCTCGCATTTCCTGCGACAGTAATCACAGTACAATCTTGAAATCCCTTAATAAGAGTTCAGATGGTGTCTCACATGCACATCTCAGCGTGCATTGGGAACATCTCCCTTATTCCCAGTACACGGCTGGGATGGTCTGACACACTAATGTAAATTCCCTTAAATTCAAGGCATCACACATCATCTATTGCAATAAATATTGTCTCCCTTGAGGGTGGGTGGAATCCAACCCTTGCCATTGGCAGGTTTTCCACTGGTATTTTTCTTGGCAGGAACTCGTTGAGCCCACTTCCAAATTTTCGTTGTTGAGAAGTAGAGTGAAGATGATAAAGCTTCTTTTCTTTAGAGTGGAGCCCGGAGGCCTTTTAGAAAGACATATTATACTCTGAGAAAAAGACAATGCATAGACAAAAAAACCTGAAATCATGTTTTCATTAATGGAGTTTTAATTAATTTACTTCCAATTCAAATTCATTATTAAAAGGGACAATTTTGTTCCATCCAAATGTTGTCAACTTTCTCCCCAGGTGATAGTCGGTTTGATTAGAACCAATGACCTAACTAACTATTTGATTTGACCATCTTTTCTAACCAAACCAAACTGAYCTAACTGAATTCAATTCCGTTTGGTTTGATTTTCTATTAGGTTTTAATAATTAATGAACAATTAATTGTTAGTCTTTAGTCTAGGTTTTAATAATTTGTCAGACTTTAATGAATAATTAATACAACTACACTCATTTAATGACTAATTATTAAAACAACTACACCCAGTATTTACAAACAATTAATGAATAACTAATAATTAGTCAAGGTTTTAATACTATAGCTGTTTAGAGTTGTTAGACAATTTCGTTAACTATTAATGACTAAAAGTTAGAATGGGCCCAAAGCCCAATGGAGAATTGCATAATTTACGATTGGGATACATAATAACTATTCATTAATAAGTATAAAGTATTAAATAGAATATTGTATATTTAATTTACTTAATTACATAAAACCATTAGTTTGATTTTTGGTAAGGATGACAATTTTCTCAATTTCCCTGATTCCCATGAGGACCTTGATCTCCGCTAATACATATGCATATATGTAAGTATATATCTATATATGCATATGTTAGTATTTTTAAAAATATGGTTGAATATGTTTGAATATGTTTGAATCTTAGGATTATAAATTTTAACTATTTTATTTTTAATTTTTTTGAATAAAATAAAAACAAAAAAAAATGGTTGACATTATAAAAAATCATGGGGAGTGGGAATGGGGATGGGGATAACCTTGTCCCCATCGGCGGGGATGGCGATGGGGATTTTCACAGGGATAGAGATGGGGAGTGGCTCCCTGTCCCTGTCCCGCCTAATTGCCATTCCTAGTTTTTGGTTCAGTTCAATTGAAGATCTCAACCAAACCGAACCAAAAACGAAAACTAAATTTTGAAAAAAACAAAAGCCCAACTAACATATTCAGTTTGGTTCGGTTTGGTTTTCAGTTAATAACCTAGAAAAAGATCAATAGTTAACTGAACTAACTAGTATATATATATTCTATAAAAATATATGCATTATGCATATATATTATTTATTATTTATTATAAATATTATATATTATTTGTTATTTACAATATATATTATAAATGTAAGTAAATCCAAAACCCAAAAACCAAACTGCTCAACTAGTTAATTGATGGTATCAGTTTGGTTTCAGTTTAAGGAATTGCAAAAACCGACGGTACCAATTTGGTTTTGGTTCAAGAAATTACAAAAAATCAATGATATCAGTTGGGTTTAAAAAAAGAGCTCATGATTTGGTTATCCGAACGGTGAGCACCCCTAATCCACCACAGTGTGTCATGAATGGTGTAAAGAAAGGTAATATAGTTAATTTGAAGAAAATCATTCATCCCCTAATGATTGATCTTTGATAGGGGTYTCTAGGTATGTTTAAGAAAAATTAGGAATTTTAGATAACAACTAAAGGTATATAAATGAATTGAATTTGAATCAAATCAAGCAATATCAGCATACAAACTGAAATTGATTAGAGATTTGATGGATGTTACAAATTCATATTTCATTGAATATATATTATTAATTTAAATCAAATATTTATCAAAATTTTCGAATACCTTTAACACCCTAATAATAACCCAAAAAATGAAGCCATGTCATAAGAGGAGGTGAGAGTACTTCCTACCAACCAAAAGACGACACCACTCAGCATTGTATACAAACTTGAATTTTTTGTCTGCCAAACGTTCAACCAGACCATAGAACACACGTGGATCCCATAGAAGTCTCGTACAGGGTTCAGAATCAGAAATGGGTTCAGAATCCGAACAGAGGTACCTGGATTTGGGAATAAATATATGTAGCCACTGTTGGCGATATCTGTGATTGTCAGTCTAGAGTCGAGACTGACCTCGTCATCTCTTTTCGTCCATGCATCTAAAATAAGTAAGGTCAAGTTCGTCGAACGCCATTGTTGCCAGACCAGAAAGAAGCTCATCAGCCTGGACGGTCGGATAATTTGACCAGCCACCGGACTAGGCTGGTTTTATTCAGCATTACTGATCAACCCAATACCTGGTTGGAAAAATGGCGGACACCCAGGCTGAGATGGCTTGGACAGCCAAGCGCAAGTTGAGTTTTTCATTATTTCCCTCATGGACCAGTGTTATAATAAGACATCCCACTTGGCAACTGGGTGGAGCAAAACAAATCTGCCATAGTCTTCTGAGTTCTGAGAAAACTCTAAGACTCAGTTTGGAAAGACAGGTTATTATATGGTATAAATATAGAAAATAATAATACAAATGTATATGGTATAAATGTATTTAGTTCGCGGGAATAAGGGTTTGGAATCGGAATCTGACCAACCGTTCAATTGGGTGGAATTGGAATACCATTTTTTCTTGTTTCCTTCAATCTGTCCCCTTCCCTTGGGAGTGAAAATCCATTTCACTAACTTTAATTCCGTTTCCAATTGCCATTTAAACTAAATAGACAGAAGGAATAAATCATTCTGATTCTAACTACAAACCAAATGGACTCTAAGTATCTTATTGGAGACAGGTTATTATTTAATTTCTATGCCACCTCCGCTAGGTAGACCTAGAGACTGTAATTAACAAGGTGGCATCTGTTTAACAAGTAAGATCCACTGTGTCAGGGATGGCAATTTTCTCCATCCTCATCGGATACCCAACTTCCCTGGGGGTGGGGGTGGGGATTGCTTTGGAATCTATGGATGGGGAATGAAGCCTCCACCCCACCCCAACCCCAAACTTTTTTTTTTTTATTTTAAATAAATTTATTTTTCAAAAATTATCACTAATTAACAATTTTCGAGGATTTCTCCATCAGGGGTTGGTGATGGAGAACAACTTTTATCCCCATCAAGGATCAAGGTCGGGGACTGAGATTTATTTCAAAATCAGAGTCGGGGATGCACCAATTGAGTAAGCTTACAAATACCAAGCGGAGCTTAATTAGGCTGGCCAACAATGGAGGGATCAAATCCTTTGAGCCTTATTCAGCCTTGCCAATATCTACTGCTCATTGCATGGGCGCATGGGCTGGCCTTGGCCATGGCAGCACAGACTCGGTCCTTATCTTTGAGATCGATGGAGGTCAATTAATTAAAATCCAAGATATATATTAATTATCATCTGCATCATATCGATCAGTTGATGTACAAACTCGAGCTAGCTAGAGGGATTGGATATGGGCACTGGGCCACTGGCCATTACCAGTCCTGTGAGATGTGCCTCCATTAAAATGCAGCCCCAGAGTCATAAAAGAGCTTTTAAAGCGAGATGGGAAGCTGCATGCGTGCATGGCCATGAATATATAATCAATAAACCTCTCTTCAGAAACATTTAAAATTTGAAACAAGAATTGCATATCTACAAGCAAACACCATCTACATTTGGCTCAAGACTTGGGCAACATTTGTCTGTTCAAATTTCAAAACACACTAATAATTAACTTCGGTTCATTATATACAGACTTGAAGCTCGTACATTTTGCAGAGAGAGAGAGAGAGAGGATGGGGTGGGTCTGATGCATCAAGTATTTGAATGAAGATTCTTCATCCTTACCGACACCAAACAAAACAAATTAAATGCCCAGGAAAAACGTACATGGGAAACAAGTTGTAGATCTGCCTCACCTAATCACAAATATATAATACAGTTTAGGTAGCATAGTCTTACTTATAATTGCAAAGTCAGATTATAGAGCTTCTGATATTATATAGTTTATGATCTGAATGGGGTGGTCCAATGCATCAAAATCTGGACTATCTAATCTAAATGCATTTTTCTGAGTAATTTTTTTGTCTAGATTCTGCAGGGAACAAACAAGATGGTCCACCTTGATCTGAACATCCACCAACATTCACCTATATGGAGATCTCTGCTGTTGAATAATTAGTGGGTTTGCCTTGATCAAATCCGGACACTCAGATTCTAATTGGTTACTCCTTATATAACTACCATTTTGGGGGAATCAATTAATGCATCTTTGGGCTATGTTTGGTTTGATAGAAAATTAAGAGTAAATTGATGAAGCAGAAAGGTAAGGGAAAGTTCTTAACAAATTTTGTAAAATTCTTAACAACTTTCTGTTTCTCTCTTATTTCCTATCAAACCCAACACAACCTTAGCTTATTATTCTGATCATGTCCACTGGGTCTGGCAATTGACTCCCTCCAAACAAAATTTTCTCTTTGTCACAGGAGAAATGAATGATCCCCACCTGAAACATGTTCAGTCTGATCATTATTTATTTTAAAATCCAATCTCTCTTTCTCTTTCTCTCTCTCTCTCTCTCTACTGTTTGTTGTTTTATTATCTTTTTGGTAGGTAATAAAGTGAAGTGTTGGAGAAAGTTCAAATACAAAGTGCTGGATCTCCACTGATTTTCTTAATTCTTACCCCCCAAAGCACTCAAACAGCTTGCCAATTTTACCGAACTACCAGAAACGCCATTATTACACCGGATGAAGATATGGACCCCTCGCCTGTATTGCCTGCCTTAAAAGCTCCTTCACTTAATCCCACCCAAAAGGAGGGGCCCCTTACCTTCAGCTTCAACAATTCAACTCCCCCTCTCTTCTTCGGAAACTTCCTCTCTCCCTCCTGATGCAGAAGACTTACAACAATCATCACTAACAACTGCAATCAAATTAACCAGCAGCTGAAGATCAGATCAAATGGGTCGCCTTGCACCTCTGTCTGAAGAACCCATCAACGAAGAGGACACCAGAAACTGTTCAAGGAAAGGTCAGTTGTGGCGTAATTGGCTCAAGAACCAATTCCCTCTTCTATTCAACAAGAAATGTGATCTCAAGGTCMTCTTGAGTGTTCTGGGTTGCCCTCTCTCCCCTCTTTCCGTCCACCCAACTCCATCCATCAACGATGTAAGTAGTAGTCTTATTAAATGTTAATTCCCCAGATCTTCTCTCTCTCTCTCTCGTCCTCTTTCTCTCTGTAATTAACCAAACAGTTTACAGTTTTCGCTCGGTTATACTTGGAAAGAAAAGATAATTTATCAACTGTTGATTATATGTCTCAATAGGTAGCATCGTCGGCACAATACATAATTCAGCACTTCATAGCGGCGACGGGGTGCCGGAAAATAGAGGGGACAGTGAAGAGCATCTACGCAACCGGGAAGGTGAAGATGGCGATGGCGGAAGAGCCTGGATCAAGTAGTGGTTCCGTAACTGTAACCACTCCGGCCAAGACGTCACAGAAGGGCTGCTTCGTGGTATGGCAGATGGTCCCGGACAAGTGGCTAGTGGAGCTGGTAGTCGGCGGGCAAAAGGTCGTTGCCGGCAGCGACGGGGAGGTGGCGTGGCGCCACACGCCCTGGCTCGGTGCACACACGGCCAAGGGAGGAGTTCGACCACTCCGACGTGCACTTCAGGCAAGTACTACTACTAACTCCCATCTTTAGGCCGGAATATTCTTTCTACTTTCTACTTTCTACTTTTCTTCTCTCTAGAGTGCTCACTCTACACAGAATTTTATCATTCAGTCGTCCTTTTTTTTCTTCTGTACCGCTGTACGTACCTTCTGTTTCTGTTTGCTCTGCATGTAACATCCATCCCTTTTAAACATAAGGTGGTGATCCGACGACACCATCGACCGGTGGAAAACACGGCCACGTACGTAACCCATGCTACCATGAGCGACGTGGCTTTATTTTCTACCGTTGGAAGGGTTCCAACACATAGGGCAGGGGCCCGCATGAGAGCGAGCCCACAACTAGAAGAATCAAACTCCACTTTACTACTGCAAATGGCGTCACGTCCCCCACAATGTCTCACAGTGCATCCCCGCCGTGTATTGTAAATATCTTCCATCATCGAGTCTTCGGAAGATGCTTTCAATACACGGCGGAGATGCGCTGTGGGACATTGTAGGGCGCCCCTTGTGAGCCGCAGATGTGAACTCGACGTCAGGCCACCATTACTTTATTGATTTTCATTGACAATCAGACCACCGTTGCTATGGTCCATTTATTTTTTTTGGTAATCGATCCCTCTTATAATGCACGTGGTTAACGTAAAAAGTGGTGGGACCCGGGGCTAGTCAGCAATGAGCGATGACGAGCGTGTGTTTATGTGCGTGCCAGAGCCTTAAGTATCGATAAATAAATTAAGTACAAAACATTTTGTCAATAAACATTAACAATTCTAAACACACACATCGTATTTAGTTTCGTGGCCTCAGTGCCACTTTATCAGTTCCCCTCTTTTGTTTTTCCGTATGTATTGAAAATGGTAAAAGTGGATTTTGATTTTTGTACATGTCTATCATTTGAGGAAGTARTGTTTTTTCATTGTTACGCTGATATGGTGTATAGTGCTGTCTAATTGTTATAAATAGTTATAATTATTATTTTTCTAAATTTTACAAGCAAATAAAATAAAAACGCTGAACCAAAAAATGTAAATGAAACCAAATGCATATATAATCATCTCCTTAATGAAAACCACCTAAACCCAACCCGAAAAAATAGGATTAGGGTTTCATATTTAACTACCCAAATGTGAAAATGACCTAACTTAACCCGACYCGAAAAACTGGATTGGGTTGGGTTGCGTCATGGGTCAACCTGCTGACCCAAAATCAAYCCAAATTACCTTGACCCAACCCGAACCCAATCCACCCAACCCAATTGCCAGGTCTACACCTAAGAAAGTAAGAATAAGAAGAGACAAGAAGATGAGGGTGGATGCTAGCCTCACGAACCCCTCTCTCTCTCTCTCTCTCTCTCTAGGTTGTAACAAAAGGACAAATGACATAATAGGAAGGACCTGCTTATGTTTTACCCTCCAATGAATATGACATCTCCGTGGTGGCAGACAATGCCCACGGCGCTGGTTTTGCTTCTAGAACAATCGTCACACATGTTGTTTTATGCTAGTTTTTTTTTTTTACTCCTTTTTATGAATTGGGATTTGGTCAGCCGGCCTCGTACCAACCTTACAATAATTTGCAGTCGCATATTAGGAATAGATTGAATTTATGTATGTTTTTTATATTAAAGTAATTTTCTGTATTATCATTTTTGTCTTTGTATTTTTTTCGTTTTTAAATTTTAAAGCATTTTTAATAGACAATTTCTCATTAGTTTTAACACACCTAAGGTAAAAAAATAATAATTTATCTATTTTAAAATAGATATCCCTTACCCAAATAAGTGAATCAAAGAAAAATTATTTTAACGTAAAACCCATATTTACCAAAACATGAACATGGAAAAGTTGGTCTACTTTCCTACTGACCAACTACCCCCAACTTACGAAATTACTGGTTTTTCTTTTTTTGGTGGAGAGGGGGATAGAGCAGGTGAAAAACTTGGGGATGGAATTCCCCGCTAATTTCATAACGAGCCCGATTCTCCTGCACTTTTACCCACACTTTTGACACCTTTAGATGCCCATGCTTACTATAAATGCATGTAATAGTACATCTGTCATAGAATGAACGAAAGTATAATGAGCAAGTGCAGGAAAAAAGTGTAGGAATATTGAATACTTTAGGAGAATGACGGTTCAGCCTAGGTCAGAATATTTAGGCCCAAAATACAATTGAGGTGGGTGCCGGCTTGAAATTGATGTTAATTTACAAGTGGGCATTGGTGCATAGAGTGGGGGGGGTTTTGACATTTTGAATGTTTATAGATCTGCAGTGAAATTCAGAAATCTGCATTCGGTTTATCCGTACTTTTCCAAACACTTTATTGGTCTCCAACAGGGCATAGGCACCTATAAGGGAGAGTGGATCTGGTACTGGTAGGCACACTCGGGTATTCTACAACATGAACGTTTTTGTTTTTATTTGATTTTGAATTTTCCATATCAATAAAAAATCTAAATTTTATTTTGAAAAATAAAAATAAGTTGATTTTATTTTAACATGCTCTTTAAACTAGAATTCTAAGAACAATTTTTTGCTTTTAGTTTTGGAAACAAAAGACACAAATATAGCTAAGAACATGTTTTCTATCTTTTTTTTTTTTTGTTTCAAGAAACAACTTATTTTCACAGCAATCTTTTATTTCTTTTTTGAAACTGGCAACGAGAATTCACATTGGAGAACACCCTCATATCCTTTTACCTCTCATACCTTTCAAATCCTGACAAACTTCAATAATTTGCATCAACTTTAATAAACTCTCTCTTTGGACAGGGAACCGTTTTGGGCTCTGATTTTTGGGTCAAATGGTCTGACTGTTCKGTCTGAATAGCTTATTCCGACAAAAAATAAAAAACAGTCAAAAACCATTGTTTGGATGGACGGTTTGACCACTTGGGTCTACAGTTCATTGACCAAATCAACGATTTTTTGCCAAAAATGGTTTTTGAGTATAACGGAACTGATCAAATGACCAATTTCCGGTTTTTCCTGTCCAACCGTCCAATCCAGTCCAGTTTTGAAAGCACTGATAATATCATCATCATCATCTACCAAACTTGTTGCAACTATATGGGTCCACCCAGCCATCACATTCTATCATAATGTCTGGAATTTGGGCATTTTAATTTGTATGAAAAGAAAAAGACAATTAAAAATGATTTGTTTTTGTTTTTCCAAATAATGATGAATAGACTTGTTCGTAGGCCCGACTTCAGGCTCAACTTTACCTTGTCTCAGGCTCAGGCTACATGCTAAGCCCATTAGAATTTTGACAAAAATCAAACCCGAACCCGATCCATGAACAGTCTAATCATATGAACAATCAAAGAATTCGGACTTTATTTACTCCTACCATGGTTGAAAGTGCCTAACCACCTCTTGATTTTTTTACATCTAAACCTTAAATTTTAAAACTTAAACCCCAAACCTCTAAACCCTAAATTTAAAAACTCATGTTAAAATTGCATTTGGTGGGACACATCATCCAACTAGGGGGGAGCCAAGCCCAAATAACTCAGGGGGTTGTAATAATATTATATTTATGATATATGTAGGGTCTAGATCCTGTAACAGTGGCAGCGGTGTTCTCTCCTGCACAATACAGTGGAGAGAAGAAAATCAGCGGTGAAGACTGCTTTGTGTTGAAGCTGTCAGCCGACCATACAGAGCTGGCCGATCGGAGCGACAGCACGGCAGAGATCATCAAACACGTTATGTTTGGGTACTTCAGCCAGAGAAGTGGGTTACTGGTGTATCTCGAGGACTCTCTCTTGACACGGATTCAGTCGCCCGGTTCACGCCCGATGTACTGGGAGACAACCATGGGATCATCGATGGAAGACTATCGAACGGTGGACGGAGTGATGGTCGCCCACTCCGGCCACTCCACCGCAAGCCTGGCCAGATTTGGGGACACCGTGAAGCTGGGTCCAGTGATTACGCGGATGGAGGAAGCATGGACGATTGATGACGTTGTGTTCAATGTGCCGGGGCTCTCAATCGACTGCTTCATCCCTCCGGAGGAAGTTCAGAAGGATTATCCGGAGAAGAACAACGTCAACTGGAATTCACCATTACGCCACTGCTAGCAAATTACAAGCTACAATCAGATTGATCGCGATATCTTCTCCATGACTAACAACAGTACTACTCCAACTTTGGCCTGGCTTACGGCAACCAACTGGAAAAAAAGGGGACCTTTTCAATGCTTCAATTCTGTACATATTAATAACTTCAAATAGAAGTCGATATCTGGTGATGATGCACCCTTTGTTTTCTTCCATCGATCCGGTTTCCTTTTCTCCTCATAACTTCTTGTGACTGAAAGATGTATATTGGCATAATTGAAATCGAGAGGGTAGATTGTTAGTTAGCTTCCTCTACTCTCTCTCTTTCTCTCTCTATCTCTCTCTTACCAGGTCCAGAACTTTAACAGATACGAGTAAATGTTCACATTCAAGTGGAAATGGTTGGAACTTAATGAATTTTCCTTCTTGTGGCACACGCGCAACCCAACCCAATTAATAGTTTAGGTCGGGTGGTTCAAGTGGGGTATTTTCCAACCCAGACCAACTAACCCGAGATTGCATCTCGGACGCACCGTGGGCGTGATCTGTTTGGGAAGAGTGCAAATACAAARTTGGTTTTAGTTTTGCATGGATAAATTTTACTTGGGGGTATTTATATAGTGTGATTCGCATTTATTTGATATGTAAAAAAGTAATGATTATTATTTTTTGACGTTTTTGTACTCTGAAAAGAGAATATTATTTTACCTGATTTTTTGATATAATTTTGTAACTTTTTTTATAATCAACTTTTAACCAAAGTTAAGGCATTCGAGCATAAGGTAGTTGGAGCATTTAATGATGGGACCCACACTTAGCATCGATTTCAAACAAACAAGATGACTGCAAAAACAGTTTAAAATCTGAACCGTGTTGGCATTCATGAACCGAAAAGGGAGTAAATATGCAGTATACATATTTGTGTTTGCATTGCAACCAAACGCAGCCTTGGGATTCTAGCTAATAAGGGCAACTTTTGGGCCCTAATATCAATAAAAATAATTTTTTTGATATAGTTTTTAGATTAGACTAATTTTTTTAAAAAATTATCAAATAAGGGCAGAAATATTGTTCATCTCCCTCCTCCAAACCACCAAACAAATCTCCCCACCTTTGGTCTCTCTCTCTCTCCTCCTCTTCCTCTTACTTTTTCTTCTTGTTTGCATTTGAGTTGTTCATCTCCCTCCTCCACACCAGGTACACAGATCGGTGGTTTGGTTCCAACTACTAAGCATGTTAGAGGTATCTAAAGCAATTTTGAATGCTATTAAAGCATGGAAATTAGGGTTGGAAGAGTCTGCGAGTATGCTAAGTGGAGAAGCGAGATACATAGGAGGAAAATGCAAAAACACAAGATTGGGCTTCTCCATTTTTTCTTGCAGCAAGTTAATAACTACAAGAGTGAATAAAGAAGTAGAGATCTATGATCAATATTTATTAATTTTAGGGGAGATTTATATAAGGACCCAAAATTTTTCCTTATCAACTAGAATCCCATTTTACTTTGTTGCCAAACTATTTTTAGTTATGATAGGCGCAAATAGGAATTCCAAGTCTGTACGCAATATTGTATCGTTTTAACACTAATAAACTTTGACTTTGAGTGCAAAGTTTACATTCATTTGTATGCAAACTTTATTTTCAATTTGAATGAAAACATGTCTTGAAATTTGTATTTGGTGTCATTGTCAATACACAAATGCATTCTTATCAAACACTAACAAAACTGAACCAAAGTAGTGCATGTATGCAGAAATGTATTTTCAACCCTTTTGTGGGCCTTGTTTCATATTTCCCCTCTACAAGAGTAGAACCAATAGGTCTGGTCTCTGCAACTCAATGGGCAGTTTTTTTTTTTTTGTAAGTTCAAGGCCTGTGGGCTGTGGCAACAAACCAACAAAAGATCTTTAATTGCAGATAAAATGATGTAGTGGTGCAACATTATTGCAGTGTATACCAAAGAATATTTGATTGCAATTTATCTTTTACCCCACCCCACACCATCTTCATGCGTCATGTACAATTGTACATGAAGTTTCAAAACAGCCCCCACCAACCATTTAGGGGTGTTGGGGACCAAAAGAACTTTGGTGGTCCACGTACCGTAGCTCACCATACCAAAGATCCATGCCTATAGAACATCATAAAACATTGACAGAAGCTAGCAATTCAACTAAAAAGATGGTGTTTGTTAGGGGTGAGCAAAAAAAATCGAATCAAACTGGATCGAAAATCCGATTAATTGAATCGATCGGTTTGGTTTTGGTTCAGTATTTTTATAAAATCGAAGGTATCGATTCGGTTTAAATTAATCAATATAGAAAATCTGCAGTTAACTGAATCGACCGGTATGTATATAATTCTACATAATTTAGGTATATTTATGTATATTATATATTTTTTATATATTATAAATTAAATAAATATACATATATATAAATATATTATTTATTATTTAAAATATAATATTATATATATATATATATTTCTAATTTTTTATTATATCTTTATATATATTGTAAATATAAAAAGCGAAAAAATTGACAAACCGAACCGGTTAACCAATAAGCTTTGATTCGATTTCAGTCACCGATTTTCCAAAAACCGATGGTACTAGTTCAGTTCCAAAAATAAGCCCAAATCGTGAAAACCCCTAGTGTTTTGGTATTAATGGCAATTTTCAGAACAATATACTAGTTCAGCACCAAATAAGCATCTAATAGAAAAAAACATCTCATTTATTTTTTTGGTTGAGCCATTTAAATGATAAGTGTTTCTCTCAGGGTACGTGAGATCCATTTATCAGAAAATGACAATATGTCATTTTTCAGATCTATGGGTGATATTTTATTGTTTGGTGCATGTAGCACCTAGTGGCATTGAATTGTAAGAAAACGTTTTAAAGCAATTTTTCGAGATGTATAGAGCTTAGAACCGTACATTTTGTATGTATTTGTGTTGTATATATTTGTATTTGCACTCTTTACAAACTGAGCCTTAGTATTTCAAATTTAAAACAATCTGAAAAGCTAATCATAATTTATTGGCGGTCACAGCCTTGGAAAGATCGCCAAAGTGTTCATCAGTTTACAAAAATCTTGCAAACATTGAGAATGTTTGTATGTCAAATGAGGAGATAGATGTTCACAACGAACGATTGGATATAGTACTCTCAAGGTATTTGCACGATTTATTTCTTTTAGGAAAAACCATTTGACCATTCTCTTAGTGCTGAAGTTTCATAATGTATCATCCTCTCATGTGAGCTGAGTTGTTGAAGGTATCATGTTTTCAATGCAAGAGGAAGGTATCATTTTTCACTAAAAGACAAAACAGTAAACATTTCAGTTCTGCATCTAAAGCTGTTATCAAACGGCCCCTAGGGGTGCAACATGGGAGGCCTCAACCCGAGTCTGGAGCAATCTWAGTCAAAATTTTATATGGACTGGGTTTGGATTTTTAGTCTTTGGGTTGATCCATTACTTTGGGCTTTTTTATTGTTTGGCATGGGTGTCTAGCATTTAATTAACCCAGCCCAACCTTGTCCTAACCTGAACTTGACCCAACTATATACATTCATACGTACATATATAGATATGCATTTACATATATACATACATGTGTGATTTTAAAATGAATTTATTGACCAACCTGTACTCCTATACCCAACCTGGGCCAGAACTGAATGCATCAAATTACGATACAGGCTGGGCTTGAATTGAAGAGGTCAGGCTTGACCTTGAATTCGACCCTTAAGCCCAAATCTTAGGGATGGGCTGGGTTGACTATCCGGCCCAAGCCACGGAACTTGCACCCCTAATCCTGTAGGACCAACCGCTTGCTTGTGCCCATGTAGGGATGTTTTGGTAATTCTGCATCATTAGATTCTACGGAAAAGTATGAATACACTCAATGCAGATTTCTGATTCCCACTGCACAGTTATAAACATTCAAAACGTCCAAAAACTACAAGCTATGCACCTATACCTGTCCATGAATTGGCATCAATTCCAAACACACACCTACCCCAAATGTACTTTAAACCTATAAATTCTGACACTCCCTAGATTCTAATGATATGGTTATCTTGTAGTGTGTGTGCCTGTGTGGGGGTGGGGGAACGTCACTATTAGACTTCGAAAAAAACATGTGGGTTCCGTTTGGTGGTCAAATGTAATTAGTAGAACAAATTAAAATGTAAAAAATAATATATTTACTTTTTAAGGCATTCGATTAGTAATAAAAAAACACAAAAAAAAAATCTAAAAAATGACAATAAATTCTAAATTGGGCTCCTTCCTCCAAGGTTAAAAATATTAATACACCCCGATATGTCTAAAAGGGTTGTTTCAATACTTTGAATCTTGCATTTATTATTTTTTTCTAGTTTTTATTTTCAAAGTTTCACAGAGGTCATTTTTATATTATTTAATAAAAGAAATCTAAATTGGCCCTTCACTTATTTTTTCCCTATACACCCAATTTTCTCATAATTTTAGACAGTTTTCGTAAGACTAACCAAAATTTTTAAAAAGTTCAAATCCAAATTTCATATATCAGCCAAATATTTGTTTTTATAATAAATTAATTAAATATTTTTTGTTTTAGCATCATACACACTTTCTAGACAGCTAAAAATTAATAAGGAGTCCCACCAGAGATGACAAAACAAGGAAGAAGGTTTCAGGGTGTGCCAACAGATGCTTAACAACAAAAATTCAATATGGACTTCTGGCTTCTAGAAATATTCTCAAAAAAAATGGTAAATTTCTGAAACCTCCTCTAGAGTTTCTTAATTGTAATTATGTCCCTCAAACTTTCTGATACAGTTTTGTAAATAAACCCCTTTGTTAGAATTCTTTGATAAGAGGCATGAAAATGTCCAAAACACCCATACAATTACTATTGATGTTGGTTTTTGATGAAGGGAAATTTGGCCCGACCTCACCATCGCCCGACACGCGACAAAAGCAAGCAACTCAGGGCAGCAGAGCGCCCAAAACGAGCACCGAAAGTAACGGTCCAAACTCACTATTGAGCCCGAACTCCACCAGACCCGATTCTCTACTAGGAGCCTGAGCTCCCTACCAAGAACCCGAGCTCCCTACTGGGAGTCCGAGCTCCCTATTAAGAACCCGAGCTCCCTACTGAGGA